CTTTTTTTTTTTGCCCATATGTGACCTGGATCTGATTTTTCATGGCAGTCTGAACAACATGGATCCAATATTGTCCAATCTGACCCGGGACACTGGGCTCTGTGGTCCTGAATCCGATACCAATCTGATCTTTTCAAATGCGACCTCTGTCTGAACGGCCATGTCGGATACCTCCGACCTGAACGCCATTAATACCTGACAAAGGTCACTATTCTGCATCCAGCTGCGCAGAAGCGGCAAGAAAAACAACCATGGCGGATGATGATGCGGCGAGCAGTATTTATGTTTAACCGTCTTCAAAAGATTGAGTGTTTATGGTTGGAAAAGATAACTAGATGCGCTCCAGCGCTACCATCCATGTTTATTTCCATAAGCACGCTGGCCTGTGATGTCATCGTGTCCTCTGCTGCGCATGCGGGACACTTGCGTTGTATGACTGCATTTCACACAGGAGATCACATACAAGTCGCATAAATTTGGAAAAATGAACGGCAACGTAAAAAAATCGGATTTCCCCCAAAAATGGGAATTGAGCATGAAGGCCTGCGGTGCGAACGCAGCGTTAGTCATGAGGGCGACGCCTTCGTTTCTAGGTGGCTGGGTGTGTAGAGCTAGCAGCAGACGCTAACTGCCACCCTGCTAATGAAGGCTCAGAGATTTAACTACAGTTAGCAGCAGCTACCAGGATTGGTCCTCCATATCAGAACTGGTAGGGTTCAGTATCTATGTAGAATAGTTCTAGCTGAGAATCTCTTCTCTAACCTCCATGCTTTTTCTGCCTGATCTGTTGACTGACTGTCAGACTGACTGACTGATGTTTTGCTGGGTGACTGACGGTCCAGTTTAATGCTCCATGATGATGATGATGATGATGATGATGATGATGATGATGATGAGACGGGGTGTGTTTGATCCCAGGACCGCGATGGAGGAACAGAGTTCAGACATAGAAGTGACGGTGAAGACGCTGGACTCCCAGAGCCGGAGCTACGCCGTAGGATCTCAGGTAAAACCTTTCTCCTGCTCCATGTTCCGGGAATAAATACATCGCTCTGTTGATCTCCTGCTTGTGTTTGCAGCTGACGGTGAAGGAGTTCAAGGAGCACATCGCCCCCTCAGTGGGCATCCCTGTGGATAAGCAGAGGCTGATCTATCAGGGCCGAGTGCTGCAGGATGAGCGAACCCTGGCAGACTACAGTAAGTCAGGAGGACCAGGACCTCAGGTCCCTCTGCTCGCTGCGCCTCTAAGCGCTTTGTTGCCTCTTTCCAGATGTGGGCGGAAAGGTGATCCACCTGGTGGAGCGGGCCCCTCCTCCACCTTCCCAGGGAGGGTCGGGGTCTGGAGGGACCTCGGCAGACAGCGGACCTTCCTCATCCTCCCAGGGAACCTCCCAAGTGCCGCACGACCGTAACGCTAACAGCTACGTCATGCTAGGAACCTTCAACCTCCCCGTCAACATCATGGACCCGCAGCAGATCCAGGTCAGCCACAGACGCCCTCCCTGAAACGGGGTCATCTTCCTCCTACCCTCAGCTCTCCTCCTCATCAGCTCCTCCTACCCTCAGCTCTCCTCCTCATCAGCTCCTCCTACCCTCAGCTCTCCTCCTCATCAGCTCCTCCAGTGTCTCTGTGGTTCTCCTGCTGGTCTTCCTTGGTTTGGTTCCCTGGTGCTGTCAGGTTCTCCAAATGTCCTGACAACAAACCAACTAGTTAAATCGGAAGAACTTTAACCCTCCTCTGAACCAGCCGGTCCCTCTGAACCGGGCTGTAGGTCTGAAGGTTCTGCCTGCTGGGTTAGAGGAGCTGCTG